GCTCGACTTTCTTGCTCTTCACGAGCATATCGTCAACATACGCTTCTACATTCCAGCCGAGTTGTTCTTTGAATACCTCGTTCACCAGCCGCTGATAAGTGGCGCCGACGTTCTTGAGGCTGAAGGGCATTACCCTGTAGTAGTACAGGTCGCGATCGGTGAGAAAAGCTATCTGTTCCTGGTCATCCAAGTGCATCTGGATTTAGTTGTAACCTGAGAAGGCATCCATGAAGCTTAGTAGCTCATGCCCCACCGTTGCGTCAACGAGTTGGTCGATCCTTGGCAGGAGGAAGTTGTCTTTGGGGCAGGCCTTATTTAGGTCGGTGAAGTCGACGCAGATCCTCCACTTCCCATTGGCCTTCTTCACCATTACTACGTTGGCCATCCAATAGGGGTACTTGACTTCCCGAATAAAGCCGGCGTTGAGCAGTTTCTGTACTTCATCGGCGATCACTTGCCACCGCTCTGTGGCAAAGCTCCTCTTCTTCTACTTCACAGGTCGGTAGCGTGAGTCCACGTTCAGTCGATGTGTAAAACTTCAGGGTTGATCCTGGGCATGTCCGCTACCAACCATGCGAACACGTCGGCATTGTCCCCCAGTAGTTGCACAAGTTCTTCTCAGAGGTGGTTGTCTAGTACGGAGCCGACTTGGACTGTCTTTTCGGGATCTTCAGATAGGGGGACTTGGATGAGGTCTTCCATAGGTTGGCTACACTGTGCCTTTACTTCATCATGCAAGTCATGGGCCTCCGCCATCAGTGTCTCGACGGTTGGACGCAATCCTTGGCAAGAGAGTGGATAGCACTGCCATGCTGTTCTCTGGTCTCCGTGTGCCACCCCTATGCTATACTTGGTCGGAAATTTCTCAGGGAGGTGGTATGTTGAGACTGTGGCCTGTAGGGTGTTGAGGGTTGACCTGCCGAGGATAGCGTTGTAAGAAGAGTGACAACATACCACGATGAAGTCTACCATGGCCATTGCAGTGACGTCGTCGTCCCCGATCAAGAGGGTAATAGTTCTTTTTGCAATGGGCAAGAGGGACTCTCCTAATAATCCCATCAAGGGAGTGTTGACCGGCGTGAGCCACTCTCTGTTGATGCTGAGCTTTTCGAATGCATCTTCGAATAGTACATCAGTAGATCTCCCTATGTCGACTAGGATCCGCCGCACCTCAAAGTTAGCCACCTCGGTTGTGATGACCAAGGCATCACCGTGCGGTGTCTGGACCCCTCGGAGGTCATCATCGATGAAGGTGATAGATGGGTTGTGCTTCTTCCTATGGTCCCGATTGTCAATCTCGCACAGCCAAGCATATTTCTTCCAACCCAATCTACTTTCCCCTCCAGCGGCGGTTCCTCCTAATATGACATGGATAACGCCGGTTGGGGGGCTCGGGGCGGTAGTTGTCGATCTTCATTCGTGCTTTGCTCTTCTTGGGCTGGCTTCTCACTTCTGTCGATGAAGCCGCTGAGGTAACCACGCCTGATCAGATCTTCAATGTGGTTGCACAGGTCGAAACAGTTGTCTGTGTCATGATCGTGTCCCTTGTGAATTTGTAGTATTTGTCTTGGTTCCTCTTGTTACTCGGTGTCTTCATCTTCTCGAGCCACCTGACGTAGCTGTAGTCATGGATTTGCTTCAGATTGCGAAATATTGAGCGACGTGAAATTCTAGTAGATCGATAGAGGGGTCCGAGGTCTATGGTTTGGTCGACGATCTTGTCTCTTGTGATTTATGTCTGACCTCTTGGACTTTTGCTCGTCAGTATCTCTCATCTTCTTTTCGAGTTTCTCGTCTTCGTCTTTGAGTTGCGGCTAAGCCTCTTCAGCGTTGATATACTTCTGTGCGTGGCTTATTAGCGCGGCTATCGTCTGAGGAGGAGTTTTGGAGATGGAGAAGTTGAATGGAGAAGGGCGGAACCCATGGTGTATGGCCCTAACTACGACTGATTGGTTCAAGTCCCTGACTTGGAGTGCTTCCTTGTTGAACCTCGCCAGGTAATCTCTGAGGGTCTCCGCCTTCCTCTGTCAAATTTGCATGAACTTGGCTAAAGTTTTCCAATGCTTCTAGCTAGCAGTGAATTGTGCTAGAAAATGGGTCTCTTTGGTCCCATGACGTTATGGAGCGCGGCGGCAGAGATGAGTACCATGCCAAAGCTGGACCTTGCAGGGTGGCTGCAAGGGCTTTGCACATTAGCCGACGTGCCGTGCAACATCATCTAAGCTTTGAGTGCCGCGACATGGTCGAAAGGGTCGGTGTTCTCGTTGTATTTGTCGAACTAGGGGGCTCGCCATCCAGTGGGGGGCATCTCATCCATGATTTCCTGGATGAAGGGTGGCTCCTTGATGGAGTGCACAGCAGCCCACACTAGCTGGTCCATGGTGGGCATCATGCTCTTGTGGGTCTGAGTGCATTCCAGTTCTTCTAAACGTTGCTGGAGCTCTCTAATCTCAGCGTCCAGGGCCGTAGTGCGGTCTCCTTAGGTTGCGCAGGGCGGTCCTTCAATGAGCTTGACTCAGCAATAGAGACCACGAAGGGCAGCATCCTCTTGCCGAGGCTTTCTCTGGCGGGGATCCGAGCTGACTGGCGTGTCTGGCTATGGTGATCCTGCTCGTGGGAGCGGGCGGTAGAGGTGGGCCTTCAAGTCATGTCCTGCTTCTCTCGCTCGGACCGCGCTCCCCTCACATCTGGCCGATGTACTTTGGGGTCCTTGGTTTGAGGATTGTCCTTCGTGCGCATTGGGGCGTGAGGGGGGATGACCCGATTGGGCAGCACAACAGACCCCAATGCTTGCATGAATTTGAAGATCTTGTCGACCTTCTCTTGCATAGCTCGGAACAGTGCTGGGTCCACCACGATCGAGGGCTGCAGGGCTTCCTGATGCGAGGAGCTGTGATGCCGAGACTCCCAAAATGGGGACCGGCCTGCTGATCGTTCGGGCTGGTTTTTAGGCATCTTGATTGGTTCTGAGGCTGCGCAGAGAAGGATTTTTTCCGGATGATTTTTTGTGTGTTCCCACAGACGGCACCAATCTGATGCTGCTCAATCCGAGGTGGTGAATGAACTGAGGAGAGCAACCGGATGATCCTTGCTGACTGGGCAGTGCCGAGCTTACAAGGACGATGCCGCGCTATGTAACCTGTGATTAAGAGAAGAAGTCAGAGGCCTGAGGAGTTGTCCCCGGGTAGACACTTTGATGCTCAAGTCAGTGAGAGAGCAATGAATGGTTGGGCTGAGCAATGAGGTTGCTGGTCCGAGCAAGATAACAATGTGAGTGTTAGAGGTCCGAATCCCTTACTTTGAGCATGGAGCACCTTTTTATAGCTGGGGTTTTATCTCTGGTCGGATTAGGCTTCTGAGGAGATTGGGATGGAGCTCTCCATTGAGGTTACCAGGGTAGAGTCCTACTCCTACTCCTCGACGGAGTTGTCTTCCCACCCCCTTATCCACGGTTGGGCTTATTCATAGGGCGTATAGCTAACATGACTGGGCAGTGACTAGGCGGCCACATGTATATATATGAGCATAGAGAGAATGACTACTATTTGTTTGGTGTTATGTCTTCGGATGTTCATTGAGTAACGAGTGCCCATAAGAGAAATTGTAAAAAGAATAAACTATTGGATTCGCAGATAGAGTACTGGTCCCATAGCTGACTCTTTCTATCCACCGGCTTGTACTCTAGTGGAGGTACCCCATGATGTTGATCTACCACGGGGTCGCACAGTGCTTCACTACGCAGAGGGTGAACTGGGGATTCTTGTTGCCTTTCTCATGCCTACAGCTATACTGGCATGTCTTGAATCTTCTAAAGTTCTTCAAATTTCTCTCTAGTGTTCTTTTGTGGTGGCTTAAAAGGTTCAACAAGTGGAAGTAGTGATTGCCTCTTAGAGGTAGAGGCATTATCAAAGTTATGGCAAGGTCTCACAGATTGCCTTTGATTTGACATGGTGTAAGGGTAAAGAAAAGGGGGAAATGGTCTTTCTATTTAGGAATTTCCCACAAGGGTCACCAATTGATAACATCGAAGTCACCAATAAGAGTTGAGATTGGGGAAGATTGAATCTACAAAAGAGGAAGAGATTAGAGGGCCCGAGGTGAAATCCTGGTCTTAGAGCTTTAATAGTCAAGTTAGTGATAGGGGGAAGATACAAATTGATCGAGGTGTTAGGTGCAATAAATGTGTGTAATGAATGTCCCTCCAAGATATAATGGTTACCTTAAGGTGGGGTTGTTTGTCTTCATGATGGACGCGTGGTGGTAGTCTATGAGATCTATTAAAGAAGATCGACATGTCTCGATGATGCACATGGGAGAGGTCCGGATCCCACCTCTCGTGGCTTGTGAGGTGGATGATAGTAACTAGGGCTGAAATTGTGTGGATTTGGTTTGGTTCTATTGCAAAACCTAGGACCTATCCGTGGTTGGTTTCAGGTTTTTGGAACCGAAACCTTTGTGAATGTCAGTTCTAGGGTCGGTTTTAGCTTTGGCGGTTTTGGAGTCATTTCCGAGGTCTACCCGTGGAATTTATTATTTCTTTACTCATTTCTTGATAAAATGAAATGTCCTTTAAAAACTTGATTTTTAATAATAATAATATATAGTTTAAAATTTATACTATTTTTATTGATCAAATTGAGTAATTTAATATGTAGATTATCATAATATATTAATATATGGTTCAAAATGTGTCATTATAATTTAAATCTTGTAAATATTACATTTTATATTATTTATTATACATTCAAATAGTAAAATAAAAACAAATGATCAAATCACTTAAGTAACTCAATGGTAAAGTGAGACCATAACTTTTGTAACCATGACTGTTTGGATTCAAATCTTCATGTTAATATTTTAAGGTTTATTTCAATGCAACTTTAGTTCCAAGGCTAAATCCATTAAGACTGATTTATTGAGTTGGTTCGGATAAACTAAACTTCTAAGAAGGATTGGTTCAATTTTGAACCTACTCATTTGTTCACCATAATAGTAACATCTAGTGGCCATGGTCTTGAGATGCACGTCTTTGAGCTCAAGAAGGTGTACTTTAACCAAACCGAGCTCTGGTATTCGTTGTCAATGTAGGAATTCAGATGAAGTGGAGGTCTCCAAAGTCTGAGGTGTGACGTTTGTTTTTGTTCATTGCCACGTGTTGGGTCTTACTTGTGATCAGTTCGACCTGTATATAGTTTGATGCAGTTGATTCAGTAGTTTCGTCAATGACTCATTGACTCCTACTTCTTTGACGCCATTCCAACCAGCTCCAACTCTCCTCTCCTGTCATGGCAGTGGCGGGCATGCTTTTTCACCTCCCCGAGCATCGTAGCACCAATCCTCTCGGAAAAACAAGCCATCAACGATGACGTTGACGTCGTTGCCGGAGAAGACGCTGTGGAGATCCAACAAAACCCCAACCCTCCTCCCCGATGAAACCTAGATCATCAAAGACCAAAACAGCTCGAACTTTGGCTCGACTCATCAACAACAGAGCATGGTCACCAGACCTCGAGTCCTCCATCTCTCCTCTCTGCTCCCATCTCTCCAAAACCACTGTGCTTCAAACTCTTCACCTCGTAAGAACCCCGTCCAAAGCATTCCAATTCTTCAAATGGACCCAAAACAATGGCTTCACCCACAACGACCAGACCTACTTCAAGATGCTCGAGATTCTCGGTCACAGCCGGAACCTTAATGCAGCTCGGAATCTTCTATTCTCCATCGAGAAGAATTCCAGTGGAACCGTCAAGCTTCATGATCGATTCTTCAATAGCTTGATCAGGAGCTATGGCCAAGCGGGACTGATCCAAGAATCTCTCAAGGTCTACATGACGATGAAATCGTTAGGGGTTTCCCCTTCCGTTGTCACCTTCAATAGCCTTTTCTCGATTCTTCTCCGCCGAGGGAGGAAGACCATGGCAAAGAAATTGTATGATGAAATGATAACGACGGTTGGTGTTTGTCCAGATGTGTATACATTCAACATTCTGATAAGGGGTTTTTGTTTGAACTCAATGGTCGATGATGGGTTTCGTTTTTTTAAAGAAATGTCCCGTTTTGGATGTAACCCAGATGTTGTTACATACAATACACTTGTCGATGGCTTGTGTAGGACTGGAAAGGTGAGAATTGCTCACAATCTATTAAATGGTATGTGCACGAAAAGCTCTGATTTGAATCCTAATGTTGTCACTTACACGACCTTGATCAGAGGATACTGTGAGAAGCAGGATATTGCTCAAGCATTGGATGTTTTCAAGGAGATGCTTGGTCGTGGGATGAAGCCTAATGGAATTACTTATAATACCCTTATTCAAGGACTCTGTGAGGCAGGGAAGCTCGATAAGATAAGGGAGATTTTGGAAGGAGTGACGGAGGGTGGGGAGTTTGTCCCAGATACATGTACCTTTAACACACTGATGAGTGCCCATTGCAATGCGGGGAAGCTGGAAGAAGCATTGCATGTGTTTGAGAAAATGTCAAATTTACGAGTCCAACCAGATTCAGCCACATATAGTGTTCTAATACGTAGTTTGTGTCAGAGGGGGGATTTCATGAAAGCAGAGGAACTCTTTGATGATTTATGGAAGAATGAGATTCTGGTAAAGGAAGTGGGATGTGTTCCTCTTGTTGCAGCTTATAATCCTATGTTTGAGTTTCTGTGTGGGAATGGGAGGACTGAGAAGGCTGACAAGGTATTTAGGCAGATGTTGAAGAGGGGTACACAAGACCCTCCTGCTTTCAAGATATTGATCCTAGGGCACTGTAAAGAAGGGACAGTGCAAGCTGGGTATGATCTCTTGGTCTTGATGTTAAGGAGAGATTTTGTGCCTGACATGGAGACTTACAATTCCTTGATTGAAGGTTTTTTGCAGAAAAGAGAACCAGGTTTTGCCTACAAAACTCTAGAAAAGATGTTAAAGAGTTCCCATCTCCCCAAAACTTCAACTTTCCATTCGATATTGGCTGCACTTGTCCAAGAGGGGTGTGCTCATGAAGCTGCTTCATTTATTAAAATGATGCTAGAGAGAAAAATTCGACCAAATACCAATCTTTCAACAGATACCATAATTGAAATCTTTAAGAGCAAACTACAGGATACTGCTTTTGAGGTTGTTGAGTTGCTTTATGGTAATGGTTATTCCATTAAGATGGAAAAAGTTGTTTGCTTCCTTTCTGGGAATTGTAAATTTTTAGAGGCACGAAAACTATTGCTATTCAGCTTGGAGATGCATCAAAGTGCGGGTACCAAGATTTGTAACACAGTTATAACTGGTCTTTGTAGAATTCATAAGAGTCTAGAGGCTTTCAGTCTGTATTATGCATTGTCAGAGAAGGGAAGCCATCTCAGTTCGAGCTGCTTAAGAGAACTGAAAGTTGCCTTGGAGGATGAGGGAAATTTAAATGAGGCTGAATTTTTGTCCAAAAGGATAGAGAGGCAGGAAATAAGAATGGTAGAAAAGGGGATCTAAGAAGCAAGAGCTTTATATTCTTTAATGGAGATGTTATTTCTAATAAACTGATCAGATGTTTTATTTTCTATGCCTGATCCCAGTAACCTGTTGCAATTTAGTTCCTAATCTGTATTTGTGCTGATCAATTTTGAGATACTGGATCTCATGAAGTTTGAAGAAAAAGAATCAATCTTGATTATAGCATCTTGTTATTTTGATAACATTAATGCTCATATCTTTTTACATATAACTTTCATTGTTTTCCTTTTAGTGCTAACAGCATCGTTCCTATCATGCTTGGAAACAATATATATAAGACTTCCGTATACGACAACAAACATTTTTTTTGGTAATCAGTGGAAATATTTCATTAAACAGAGACAGAAAGAACAGGACAGTTTGGGCTATTGTAACAAAAGATTCCAGATGCATCATCCAATAGATGTGAATGTCATGTATAATTGATGGATATCATTTTTACTGAGGGGTCTGTCAAGAATCTAAGACTTGAACCACGCTTGAGTCGACTTATCCCAACTCCCAAGCCGAATCAAACCTAAACCCCACACACTTGAAGCAAACCAAATCGGACAAGACTCTTCAAAGTAAAGTATTACATGACAGATAGGATACTCGGGACTAACGCTGACCAGTTATTGGGATAGTAATTTGTTTACAGGGATGCTAATGTGCAGGACCCTCCACAAGAAGAACTTCAACTTCCAAGCAGCCTTCCACAAGGCCTTGGAATCATTTCTAGGTCCAAAACTAGAGTTAGATGAGCCACTATTTTCCAGCTTGACAATTTGGTAAGTTGACTTAACAGAGAAAACAGAGGGTGGGATGACAATAAGTTGAAGTTCTTGTGGGGGGTGCTGAACATTAGTATCCCATCTTCATTATTTCCATTCTATTGGCTTCTTTGTATCAGGATCTGATTATAATCCTCGGTTGCATGGATGGAATAGTAATACTCTCAATCAGCTCCTTCCTAGCAAGATTAATGATGAAATAATGAAGATATACCTTCCCAGGTCACCTAGGGATGACAAGCTCTGTTGGGCTTGGCCTTTAAAACATCTGGTGCCTTTCTCTGTTAAGTCACAATGGAAAATGCAGATATCTGGGAGAGCTTATACACAGTAAGGATTTTAGTTGTGTTAAATATGTTGAGATTAATTTACCATTGTTAGTTGCTAGCTTCATTAAAAATAAAATAAAATTGCAGAAACATAAGTTTGCCAAACAAATAAGGAAGAGAGCATGCCCTTTTTTGCAGGAATTAGACTTCATTTTCTTAGGAACAAGTGTGAGCAGCGGTTTGGCACATTGAAACAATGGGGAATCCTTGGATGATGATGTAAACATGCTCCAGAAACATAAGATTTTTGTGGTACTTTGACATAAAATACTACTACAAATGATTAGAGTAAGCAATCTGAATTGGTGACTTGGATGGTTTCTGTAGTTAAAAGTTTTACTGACTTGATGGTGCATCAAGCCAAGTCAAATAACAAGCCTAGTTCTACTATTAGTGCTGATGGGTTGGAGGTATATCGTGGAAAACTTCAACAAAAATCGCAAAAAGAATTGCAGCAGACAGCAATTCAAAAATAAGTTCCATCAACTAAAGAAGAAGCATACCAACTATTATACCATTATGAATCACCTGGGTTGTCAATATGAGATACATTTACACTGCTTTTACCATTGTAAGATACTAACTTGTGAAAGCACAGGTGGGCCAAAAATCAGGTATATGAGTTGCTCATATTTAATTATTCATTTGATGTTTTAAAAATTGGGTTTCCTTGATTTCTTTTTATATTAAATGATGCATTTTTTTTATAGATAAAAAAGACTTAATATTAAGGAATACCATCAATACACCAGTAATCCGACAAAAAAAATGGAGGCACATTCTCCAAATAAATGTCGCAGCTAATTCTTATTTCACATCTGCGCCCCCATTGAGAGCACCGCACAAACGCCCCACAGCATACCCCAATCATGTGTGGAACATCTTCCATTGACAATTTCGGGAGATGTTCCCAATACACGCTGAGATGTGCAGGTGGGGCGTAGATGTAATCTCTTTCTTTTTCATCCATTATTTATATGTAAATAAATTTATTTTATGCATTATATAATATTTATGTATAAAAAAATATATAATATATCGTAAAATAATATATATATATATAGTGCCGGAAAGACATGGTACCGGAAAAATTTTTAGAACACCTCAACACTCACCTCCTCCATGATGATTTGAGATGGGCACTCTGCCTTCCTCCTTTAAATCTCTAGAACCAGGCATTCAAAATATAATCATTCTTCGTCATAATGAAAATATTTGCTTCAATTCTGCCCATCTCCCAATCCACTTCAAAAAGTAACAGGTATTTCTCCCTCCCATTCTCCACATTCATCTCTAATATCCATTGTACAATCTCCGAGCAGGTCCAAGCCATCCTTGCCACCCGTCTCATTGAACACCCGCTTAAGAGCCTGGTCCCTTTGCTTTCACGAAGTGTCGTGATTTAGGGGAGAGCAAAAAAAACCAAAAAATCAAATCAATCGAAACCAAATAAAAAAATTGGTTAATCGAATTGATCAGTTCGGTTTCGTCTCAGTGTTTTTAAAAAACCAAAGGTACTAGTTCGGTTTCGATTAACTAATATAGAAAATTGGTGGTTAACCGAACCGACCGGTAGACATATATTTCTATGTATTTTATATATATTTATGTATATAATATATATTTTATATATTATAAATTAATAAATATGCATTATATATAAATATATATTTATAATATATGATATATTATTTATTATTTAAAATATACTATTTTATATATATTTATAATTTTTTATTATACATTTATATATTTTTATAATATATATTGTAAAAATTAAAAAACTGAAAAACCGATGAACTAAACCGACGATTAACCAAATCGGTCAATCGATTAATCAATTGCTTCGATTCGATTTCAATTACCAGTTTTCCAAAAACCAGTAATACTGGTTTGATTACAAAAAAGGCCCATGGTTCAGTTAACCGAACCGTGAAAACCCCTATCGTGACTTCGATTCTTCGACAACAGCAAAATGTGCAGTTCATTTGGGCCATGAAAAGGAAATGTTTTTTGTAGTTGGGTATCCCACAATTTCATGATTGATAAGCTCTGTGGGGTTAACAATTTTGAGCTTGCTTGGAAATCGCTTAATGAGCTTAGAAGTTTTAGAATCCCGATCATTTTCCAGGCTTTCCCGATTTTGATGGCTGCTTATGCAAAGGCAGGCATGGCCAAGAAGGTCGTTGAGTCGTTCGACAGGGTGAAGGAAGTTGATTGCAAGCCAAACACCTTCACTTACAATACGATAACGTCTTCTGGTCAAAAAAGAGGTATTTGTGTTAGAGTTGGCCGTTTATTCACTGGATTTTTCCTTGTGTATCCAATTTTAACCTAGAAAATTGTCACTATATTTTATTATCATTTTCTCCTTTTTCTATTTTTTGTTTTATTATATATTTTTAAAATTTATTTATTCATTTATTTTTTGTTTCAAATCTGCCCTACCCTCTATAACCGGTGCCCTTCTCTTCTTAGTTTAACCTGAATAAGAGGGATTATCTTGAATGCTTTTGATTTTTCTTTTATCATTTATTTATTTTATTTATTTGTTTGAAGGATGTATTCTTATATTCGATAGTGGGATAGGCTCTACTTAGAGTTACAATACCTAGAAACCTCACACTACAACCATCTACTATTTCATCTCATGGTCACCAACCATGTGATTCAATTTGTATCAGAACCATATGCCAAAATCATAAACCAAAAACAGAGAACATATGTTGCAATAAAACAAGTTTTAATTACAACAGCAAAATAAGAAAAGAACTAGTAGCATCTTCAACATCTATTGATTAATCAGAAAGAAACATAGCAATAGTTATAGATCAACATCACAATAAAAAAAAAAACAAATTCCTCTTTTAAAACATATGTGTGTCAAGGTTCAGTCATACGGTCTAATTGGTTCAAAGGTATTAGGATCAAAGAGATCTGGGTCATGGGTGTTTTAGGCTAACGAGGGGGTTTAAAAGGGAGTCTTGGTTTGATACGAGGGTAAATGATGGAATCTTGAGTTCAGATTTGATGGGTAGGTATTTTAGGAGGTCCTGAGTCTAGTGGTGGTGTCTGATCTGATGGTTAAGGTGTAAATGGAGGCTAGTCGAGGCCATCGGATTGGGATTGAGTAGGTTTAAAGGTGGATCTCAGAGCTTTTGGGCTAAAATTTAGGTTCTTTATTTTTTGGATGTTTTGAGGATTGGAAAAGGTCTGATCGAGTATTTAGGGTGAATTGAAGGTTCAGATGGTAGACCAAACAAATATCAAGTATTGATAGGGGCATTACATGAAGAGAACCAACTTGGCTATAGACTTGCTAAAACTTGGTGGGAAATTTTCACTCTCTCTGAGCTGCCAACACTTCCCTTCGATACCATAGGGTGAATTGGGGGAGACCAGACATCATCACACTAGACTTGTTACCTCAAATCATCACCAACACCTCTCTTTGACATGCTTCTAGTGAAACAGACTTGCACCTCCCTTTTCTCATAGGCCCTAATATAATTTTGATGATTCATGACCCAGGTTTATGCTGAACTTGGCCTACTCAGGTCTGGTTCAAAAGGGAGATTTGGCCCTAAATGTTTGAAGTCTGGGTTGTTGAGTCTATTAGTTAGGCACTTGAATAGGTTGGGCTAGGATACTTCCCTTGATGAGCAATTGGGCCTTGAGTTTGGGGACTGAGCGATAGGGATAAGCGGGCCTAGGTTGGGGTTAGGTGTGTTTAACCAATATATATATATATATATATATATATATATATATTGTAACAATTGTATTTGTATGTTAATATTTGAAAACAATTTGTCTTTACACATGAACCCAATATCAACTAACTTCAGTTAAGTTAGAGCTATATACAAGGTTTTCAAATTTTAAATCTATTATGTGTTGTTTGAGAACCAAATTAGAAGAGCTATGCTCAACCCAACCTTCGGAAAGAGACGAGAGAATGGAGGTTGTTCCCAAAGAATCTTCTGAATTCTTGGTCAGGCCGGGACATTCCAGAACAACTACCAACCTAATCCGAAAAGATACAAGCAAAAGGCGTCCGAGACA